TGATTACTAACTAGCATCTCTTACATATATATATATGTAAGTAAATGAAATTTATCAAAGGGATATAATGACAATTACTTGAGCTACCGACCAATCGTATTACGTTTCACTGAAATTGCATTAGTGGTGTAAGAAGAAGAGTCCGGAAATTTTTTAAAAATTTAAATAATTGAAGGGCTATAACTCTGACAAAATTCACTGAATCGAAAAATGTTGATGAGACGCACAACTAGACATGGTATTGATCATTCCCCTAAAGTTTTGATGACATTGCAACAGTTGTTTCTGAAGAGTAGTTCAGACAAACCTTCTGTGTAGCTGGCAACACAAAAACCCCCACCTTTTTTTTATTGAAGGCTTATAACTTGGCCAAAAATCATTCAAGTGGAAAAACATGTATTATGTTGATTTATACAATAGTTAAGTAAGCAACATTCAATAATATATATGAGCCGCGCCATGACAAAACCAACATAATGGGTTTGCGACAAGCATGGATCCAGACCAGCCTGCGCATCCACGCAGTCTGATCAGGATCCATGCTGTTCGCTTACAAACCCTTTAACAAGTAGTCAAACTGATGGCGAACAGCATGGATCCTGTCAGACTCAAAACGGAAAAGTTTTTTGGGGGGCCAAAAAAGGCCTTTGGGGGTTTTTTCCCCCCCCTTGGGGGAAATTTTTTTTCCCATTTTTTGGCCCCTTTTGGGCACAAACCCACTATGTTGGTTTTGTCATGGCGTGGCTCATATATAAACAAACTTCGTCCTTATTCAGACTACAAAAATAGAAATGCTGTAAATGTTGACACAGTATTAATCAGTTTTATGGAAGACAAATATAAACTATAACTTTAAACAACACCTAATGGGTCTTAAAGGATTTTGTTTTCGCCAACACCGACGCCGGGGCGACTACAATAGCTCTCATATTCTTCGAATAGTCGAGCTAAAAAGTAAAGTAAAAAGTGCGACAGATTTTTTTTTTTGCAAAATGAAAACAACAAATAAACAAAAAGATGATAACTCCCTGAATTTTAAACTAAATGGGTAATGTTAACATTTGAATAAATACATATTTTTGATTGATATTTGAAATATCTGCTACAAATTTTAAATAATTTATGGAATTTCATTTAGCCTATAAATACAACTTTTCCATTAGAGTATTTCTTTAGATTTTTATGTCACAAAAGTTTGTTCAAGTGGCAACTTTTTAGTTATATTGATACAGATGTTTCCTGTGTAAGTGTTGGTAGGTAGTTTTCACTACGGATCAAGGCAGTAAGCCACACTGAATTTACCAGAGCACAGCACAGCCACCCCATCGTTCCTGGGCAGGCTGTCAAGCAGGTTTACCAGTACAAGTTGCATTCATTACCTCATTGACCGATTACTTTTGTACACACCAGGGCAGAGGTACAGTGCGAATGACCGCAGAAAGGATTTCATGATCAATCACAACAAAAATGACCTGCACTGTACAGGAATCAAACCTGGGTCGCTAGATTCACGCTCTACCTATTGAGCAAACTGGATGGCTCATAGATATTTTCTCAGACTTAACAATCACTATAAAATTAGTGGATTAATTCAGTTTTAAGAGAACAGTTTGGTGAAACACAAAACTTTGATAACCTTGTCATGTAAGATTTGTCATATTTTGTCAGGTAGAAGTGACCAACCAAACAAACATGTGGAATAATTTATTTGATGTTATAAAAACCTATTTTCTGATCGCCCCCTTAAATCTCACGTTTTTTCATTGGTCAGCAAATATTTTCTGTCTCTTTCTGACTATAATTTAACCCGAGTTCTGGGTTTGTGCTTGGAAAATTTCTTTATAACCTTGAACCGTAATCTGGCTGTAAATGGTTGCATCACATATCACTGTCTGTAACAACAGGTTCAAAATTAACATCAAAATTGTAAAAGGTAAGACATAAAACATGTATGAGTAATTTCATATTAAAACCTAACTAGAAATGTGTCCATAGGACACGGATGCCCCCACACGCCACTGTTCTGTCAATCTTATGACTCTAGGTAAAATATTTTTTGGACTACATGTGCCGCAAGTTAAAAACTAAAAATCAACAAAGGGCCATTATTCTGTTAAATTTGGTCGCAGCAAAAATTCCTTCCTTTACTACCATCTACACATTAACGTAGTTAATCCCTAGAAGTTTAAGCAAAATCTGCCATCCGTTTTAAGACGAGTTGCGTTCACAAAATTTCTACATAGTATATAATTATATAATGAAAAAATCAACAAAGGGCCATAATTCTGTTTAAGAGGAGTTGCATTCACAAAATTTCTACATAGTATATAGTGAAAAAAAACAAAAATCAACAAAGGGCCATAATTCTGTTAAATTTGGTCGGAGCAAAAATTCCTTCCTTTACTACCATCTACACATTAAGGTTGTTAATCCCTGTAAGTTTAAGCAAAATCTGCCATTCGGTTTAAGAGGAGTTGCGTTCACAAAATTTCTACATAGTATATAATGAAAAAATCAATAAAGGGCCATAATTCTGTTAAATTTGGTTGCAGCAAAAATTCCTTCCTAAACTGCCATCTACACATTAAGGTTGTTCATCCTGTAAGTTTAAGCAAAATCTGCCATCCGGTTTAAGAGGAGTTGCGTTCACAAAATTTCTACATAGTATATAATGAAAAAAATCAATAAAGGGCCATAATTCTGTTAAATTTGGTTGCAGCAAAAAATTCCTTCCTTAACTGCCCATCTACACATTAAGGTTGTTCATCCCTGTAAGTTTAAGCAAAATCTGCCATCCGGGGTTTAAGAGGAGTTGCGTTCACAAAATTTCTACATAGTATCATAGTGAAAAAATCAACAAAGGGCCATAATTCTGGTAAAATTTGGTAGCAGCAAAAATTCTTCCTTTACTACCATCTACACATTAAGGTTGTTCATCCCTGTAAGTTTAAGCAAAATCTGCTCCATCCGGTTTAGAGGAGTTGCGTTCACTAAAATTTCTACATAGTATCTAGTGAAAAAATCACAAAGGGCCATAATTCTGTTAAATTTGGTCGCAGTGAAAATTCCTTCCTTTACTACCATCTCCACATTAAGGTTGTTCATCCCTGTAAGTTTAAGCAAAATCTGCCATCCGGTTTAAGAGGAGTTGCGTTCACAAGATTTCGGGACGTACGGACGGACTGACGGATTGACGGACGGACGGACGGACTGACTGACGGACGGACGGACAAGTGCAACGCTATATGCTCCCACATTGTGGGGGCATAAAAAGGATCAACAACAACAAATATTTAGATAACTATACAAAATATGCTAAAAACAAATCTCAAATTAAAAGCATATTGTAAATTCCATGTACATTATAATAATAAAATAAATCTGAACACACAAGAAAAACTTGGTAATAGTTTGTATAAACAAAAGATCTATATTTTATTATGATACATTTTGTATATACATGATTGTGTACCTATTAAATAGATATTTCTTGAGTGTATAATTTAACACTGTTTTGCACATCATTTAGATGTTGAAAATACTAGTTCATTTTTGTGCTTACTAAAAAAAGAAATATACATATATATATTTTTGTTTTGTTTTTATTGAATTTCAAGTAAATCATATGACACCTTACCAAATTTACTGTTGCAGGTATTCTAGTAATTGTACATTATTTTAGACACAAAAGGACACCCTGAGTAGAACCACTGACCTAGCTAGCTGGATAGCTTCCTCATATGAAAAATTTCAAGGTACCAGGTTTGAGCCTAAAGAAGGGAGTTTCATATGTATAATCAGGCCATATTCAGGTCCTATGTTTACCAAAGATAAAGTTTCAGGATGAAATCTGAGAGGAAACCAATTTGAAAACGAGAGTCAGGACTGCAGCAACAGCATCAGCTTAGTGGGCCTTTAATTAAAGTTTTGTTACTAAATTTTCATGAATTTTTTCTTATTAATAAAACTATATGATTTAACTTGAGTAAATTTTTTTTTTTTTTTTTTTTGCAGTTTGAACTTATTCCTAAATTTTATCCCAAACAAAGGTGTTGTTGAAGAGCAATACATTTTTTTTTGTATATGCAAATTACATAAAGTTTATTTGGTACAACAATATGTCAACATTACAAAACAATGGAGAAGAAACGAAGATAAGGTCGACTTTTTTAACCCTGAATTTTACAATGGATAAGGACTGATATTATAAATATATGCTTTTTATTGCAGGACTGTAACAGCTTAATTGAGAAATTAAGAAAAAATTAAGAAAAAAATATGATCCGACTTTTTGTTGAATAAAAGAAAAAAATTTACAATGAAAATTTGATATCTATTTAATGGTAAGCATGATACATGTATATGCAATCTCATTTCTTTTTGTCCCTCGCAAGTATGAAATTCCTATTGTATGTATAAATATGTTAACAGTCTCAATGGAATATATAGAAGGAGACTCCAGGCTGTCACTGCAGCTTTAAAATACCCGGTCAAATACAGTAAAATAGCTGTCATCTACATTATTATTCATTAACAACATATACATACATACTTTGATTTTTTTCTACGATACATTTTGACAAAAAGATACTTAATTGTTTACATCTATAATTGACTAACATTCATTATCCTTTCTGGGCTTTCTCAGTCATTTAACAAATTGCGTTAACCTTGGATATGCACACAATTGTCGCCAAAATACCAATCATAGAAATCTACGTCCAACAGCCAGAACTTTCTCAAAACACAAAAAATGCCCAACAAGCCCAAGGTTGCCATGTGCTACTTAAGTCTGTCTGGCTCCCCAAAATGCTAGTAAAAAATCTATGATGCTCCTTTAATTAAATGGAACCGTCCCACTTTTTGGCATCCACCCCACGACCGAAAATTTTTTCTGGGAAATCTTTTTTTTGCCATTTTGCCCGGTTTTACTGGACAATTTTTTTGTAGTTTCACCTGCGGGAGAGAAATTGATTTCTATTGTAATTGTCTATTTTGTTCTATAAAAACTCGTATAGATTTTTACATAATTCGAGCACCCCACTCCCAGCTACCCTGAAATACAAAAATATTAGTTCATAGATTGTTATTTGTTCTTTGCTACATTTCATAAAAAGTCCTAAGTGTATCCAATTCCCAAGTCCTAGGAATAAGACCGATTTTCAGACCAACTTTAGACAGTTTCAATTGAAGCAGATTTGTCTTAAGTTTAAGGCTGAAGACATTAATTATATTTATTTTCCAGACAAAAAGAAAGAAAGAAATATCACAACCTGTGCTTTTTCCTTCAATATGTCAATGTTTATTTGTCTTGCTAACCAGAAGGTGAAGGAGTCATAACATGGGAGTCATTATTAAAGTTTGGACATTTTCTTGAAAAGCGAAATTGTCCCAGATTTTTGTCTTTAGACTGATATTAGACTTAGGACTTTCTATGAAACGGACCCCTTCAGTCGCTATTTTGTTCTTACTTCTATATGTGAAATAGAAAATTATTTCAAAAAGTTTGTTGATGCAACTTTGCTTATGAATTTTTTCCACTTGAATGAAGATACATACAAATCAAAGCACTTTCTTTCAATGAATATTACTGGTTCTAACCACCAAAGACAAAAATTATCACATCATGTGATGAGAGCTTTAAAAGATCGTGAATGTTGTAATTAAGGGTGTAAACACACAGCGAAATTTTATATATGTATATAATAATGCTTCTAAAATAATTTTCAAACAGCGAAGAATATGTAAAATATGTACTGCAAATATTTGTGCACATTATATGTAATCATTATAATATATGCTTTCATTTCTTCCTGAAAAATTTAACATAGACTTCATAGAAAATAAATTTCTAATTATCTCCCTTTATTAACATGAAATGTAAATTCAGTAATATCTTTACAAATGGAACTTACAATATTAATAAATCTTCATTTGAGCATTATATTTATGATATAAAACCATAAAAAATGACTTACAGGATCTTTAAGCTACATTACACCAATCAAAGTGTAAATGGTCATCATACAAGTAAAATACAGAACAAAGGTTAAAAATATACATGTAGTATGAAAAATTCAACATTCAAAACATTTCATGTAACCTTAAAGAATAAAAAAATATACACTACATAAGAAAGTTATATTATACGTTTTTGTAGTTTTTCCTATAGTGCCATCCGTAATCTCGGGTTCTTTGTCACCAAATGACCAGTTGATACTGAGTGGCCGTGCCTTTTCTACAACACGTGTTGTATCCTAAAAATAGAAAAAAACTTTCATCAACGAAAGTGGGGCATATTAATAAATAAATGTATTAAATAATTTGGGTTTGAGTTGTACTCGGGTTGTACATGATGTATAAGTCAAGTTGTAATTTCAAGAAATCAAATCAGTATGGAAGAAGGTTAAGTACAAGATAGAAATTTCATTAATTTAATTGTTAAAGAAATGGTGTATTTGTTTGTTTGGTTGTTTTTAATTCCAAACTTCAATTAATTTTTTATTGTATATCTGCGGTAAGTCCAACTACCGGTAACTACATGTATCTCTTCTGGATAACTATCCGGTTATTAAAAATGTTTCCACTAGTGACCAACCTTTTATCCAATATGGTATCTAAGTCAGTCAGGTAGGAGAAAAATAATCATTACACTTAATGTCCTTGATCGATTATCACAAGGAAATTTTCCTTTGCCCGACCAGGCATTATAATGTTGGCTGACGGACTTGAAATTTTTATCTTATCTTATCCCCCAAAATTATAATGGACAGTTCCAAAAAATGGGTAGCTGGACAAGTCCATTTAAGAAATTCAGAAGATTTAGGGTTTAAATGTATGACTAACCTGGTGTGAGGTGACACCTAGATCAGGATGGTTGACATGGTAACCACACGGTAATTGAGACTGTAGTGGTGTTGTGCTATGATCTATACGACAACATACGGCCCGCGCCAAATGACCAGCATTATATAGATTCCCTGTAACAAAAAAAAACATTAAAGATATACTTTGCTCAAATTTGATGTTATAAACTTTTAAGCTGCACAGTCTCTTTGTAAATATTAAAATAAACATGTTTTCACTTCACAAAAAGTAGATATGTTATGTTTAAAATCCTAAACACTATAGATGGTCACAATATGAATACAAAGTGTCATTAAAACAAGAGGGCCATGATGGCCCTGAGGTCGCTCACCTGTATATAGGCCCCCCAGCCCCCCCCCCCCCCCCCTCAGGGCCAATTTTAACCCAAGGGCTTTTATTTGAACAAACTTGGTTCCATAAGAAGATGTTTCAAGCTAAACATCTAAGTTCTAGCTCATTGGGTTTTTTAAAAGAAGATTTTTTAAGTTTTTACTGTACACATATAGTTAATATCTTAACTCTAGCTATTTGGGTTTTTTTAAAGAAGATTTTTTAAGTTTTGCTATACACATATAGGAAAATCAATGACCCCCTGGGGCGGGCCAATTTTGACCCCAGGGCTTTAATTTGAACAAACTTGGTAGACACCCCTTAGAACATGTTTTCGTGCTAAATATCTTAGCTCTAGCTCTTTGAGTTCTTTAAAAGAAGATTTTTTAAGTTTTTACTATATGCATATAGGGAAAATCAATGACCCCCTGGGAGCGTGGCCAATTTTGACCCCAGGGCTTTTATTTGAATAACTTGATAACTTGGTAGACACTCATTAGAAGATGTTTCATGCCAAATATCTAAGCTCTAGCTCTTTGGGTTTTTTAAAAGAAGATATTTAAAGTTTTTTCTTTCGGAGAGTTCTGCATGGAATTAAATTCTTTGAACAATTTTTAAAGGTGACCACCAAAGGAACATTCCTGTGAAGTTTGGATGAAATTGGCTCAGTGGTTTATGAGGAGATGTCATCTAAAGTAAAAGTTTACGGACGGACACCAGACGGACGCTGGACAAAAAGCGATCACGAAAGCTCACCCTGTCACTTTGTGACAGGTGAGCTTAAAAAGTGTGTACAATCAAACTTACAAAGGAAATTTTTATTTTGATATCTGGTAAGAAAAAGTAAGCATAAGAGTGAAAACTATACCCAAAACAATAGACTGTAGATAAACCGGTTCGTATACTGTTGATAAAAGCGCCCCCTGTAGACCTAACACATTCCACTGACATATCTTGTCACTACACGACATTACCCGGAGTCGCCCCCCTTGTTGTATACCATCGTAAGTCTGAGTGACAAATTCTGGTTCCACTGGAATGGTTCCCTCTCCTAATAAAAAGTACAAAACGTCAAACAGTTCAGTGGAGAAGATGTGGTAATGATAAACGGAAATAAAAATTTTGATCAGACATAATTTTTATTTTTATTTCTCTTCTCGTTATGGACTAAATTTTCCCATTTGGAACCTCAGTCACCAATATTTAGTTTTCTTTTTATAAAGACAATAATTGAAAGTCAACCAGAAATGTGGTGGATGTTTCTGATGATAATTCTGATTTGCCAGTATCGTGCTGAGCATCGAAACATCACAGTTGTAGAATCATATGCAAAAATGATGAATTTCAAAATATATAAACTATTTTTTTGTATTGTCTCAGACACCTGAAGGTGATAAAGTTGCAAATAATGTTACTTATGTGATGTCCTTAGGGACAAGTTTATACCGCAGTGAAATTCAGCAATTATTGTTCTTAGAAAAATTGCTTAAATCTTATCATTTGGTAAAGTAAGTGTGTCCATGCCAAATCCCCTCCCCAAAGGCCCCATCCCTATCTGAATTTATTATATGCTTAAAAATAGAATATTGAGAAATATTAATGAAATAAAATAAATATTTTCTTTTTGTTTAAATTTTCACAAAAAAAATTAATTTTCACTGCAGTGAAATGTATTTTCCACATTTTCACTGGTAACTTGCCAGACTACTTTCTTTTAAATTCAGCTGATACATAAAATGAAGGGGTATGTTTTTCGAATCATAAGGTCAAAAAGAGAGTGTATAATAAACAGAAAATTCAACTTTTTCAATAAGTTTATTTTTATCTTGTGGTATGAAAATCATCATATTTTATACCATTCAATGACATGAAATCCAGTATATTTACAAGAAACTTGAATATCCTCTCTATATATTTACAACTTTTCAGCCTGTATTATAAAACGGACAAGTGACAGGGATATATATGACCTAATAAATTTCGACAACGGTGCTTTATTATAATTGGCGTACACTTTTTATTTTAAGAAGCATGCATTATCTGAGATATTGAACTATGTTTTATACCCAATAAATCCTATAACTGATGTATAACAGTAAAGGAAAATTAAATGTGCACGCCTCCAGATGAGCCAAAATATTTCAAAACAAGAGGGCCATGATGGCCCTGAGGTCGCTCACCTGTATATAGGCCCCCCCCCACCCCCGGGCCAATTTTTACCCAAGGGCTTTTATTTGTTTATTTGAACAGACTTGGTAGACACCCATAAGAAGATGTTTCATGCTAAACATCTAAGTTCTAGCTCATTGGGTTTTTTAAAAGAAGATTTTTAAAGTTTTTACTATACACATATAGTTAAAAACAATGACACCCCTGGGGCAGGGCCAGTTTTGACCCCCGGGCTTTTATTTGAACAAACTTTGTAGATATTTACTTAAAGATGTTTCATGCTTAATATCTAAACTCTAGCTATTTGGGTTTTTTCAAAGAAGATTTTTAAGTTTTTGCTATACACATATAAGGAAAATCAATGACCCCCCCCCTGGGCGGGGCCAGTTTTGACCCCAGGGCTTTTATTTGAACATACTTGGTAGACACCCATTAGAACATGTTTCATGCTAAATATCTAAGTTCTAGCTCTTTGAGTTCTTTAAAAGAAGATTTTTTAAGTTTTTACTATATGCATAAAGGGAAAATCAATGACCCCCTGGGGCGGGGCCAATTTTGACCCCAGGGCTTTTATTTGAACAAACTTGGTAGACACTCATTAGAAGATGTTTCATGCTAAATATCTTAGCTCTAGCTCTTTGGGTTCTTTAAAAGAAGAATTTTTAAGTTTTTACTATATGCATATAGGGAAAATCTATGACCCCCTGGGGCGGGGTCAATTTTGACCCCAGGGCTTTTATTTGAACAAACTTGGTAGACATTCACTAGAAGATGTTCCATGCCAAATATCTAAGCTCTAGCTCTTATGGTTCTTTAAAAGAAGATTTTTTAAGTTTTTACTATATGCATATAGGGAAAATCAATGACCCCCCGGGGTGGGGCCAATTTTGACCACAGGGCTTTAATTTGAACAAACTTGGTAGACACTCACTAGAAGATGTTTCATGCTTAATATCTTATCTCTAGCTCTTTGGGTTCTTTAAAAGAAGATTTTTTAAGTTTTTACTATATGCATATAGGGAAAATCAATGACCCCCTGGGGCGGGGCCAATTTTGACCCCAGGGCTTTTATTTGAACAAACTTGGTAGACATTCACTAGAAGATGTTTCATGCTTAATATCTAAGCTCTAGCTCTTACGGTTCTTTAAAAGAAGATTTTTAAGTTTTTACTATATGCATGTAGGGAAAATCAATGACCCCCCGGGGCGGGGCCAATTTTGACCCCAGGGCTTTTATTTGAACAAACTTGGTAGACACTCACTAGAAGATGTTTCATGCCAAATATCTTAGCTCTAGCTCTTTGGGTTCTTTAAAAGAAGATTTTTTAAGTTTTTACTATATGCATTTAGGGAAAATCAATGACCCCCTGGGGCGGGGCCAATTTTGACCCCAGGGCTTTAATTTGAACAAACTTGGTAGACACTCACTAGAAGATGTTTCATGCCAAATATCTAAGTTCTAGCTCTTAGGGTTGTTTCAAAGAAGATATTTAAAGATTTTTCTTTCGGTTGCCATGGCAACCAGAGTTCTGCATGGAATTAAATTCTTTGAACAATTTTCAAAGGTGACCACCAAAGGAACATTCCTGTGAAGTTTGGATGAAATTGGCTCAGTGGTTTATGAGGAGATGTCATTTAAAGCAAAAGTTTACGGACGGACGACGGACGGACGGACGCCGGACGAAAAGCGATCACAAAAGCTCACCCTGTCACTTTGTGACAGGTGAGCTAAAAAATAAATATTGAGAAAAATGTACTAAAATTTTAAGGAAGGTAAAAACATTCAAGATCCAAGTTATATGTTCATGTTATGTGTGGTTTAAGACGGATTTTGCAGTATTTTATTAAAATATTTCTACTGCGTTACTAACCAATCAGGGCTATTTTTGCATACTAGTATGTTTACGAGCTTTTGGTTATTTTCTTGGATTGTAAGTGCTGATTTCAATATGCAAATTACTCAATTTGTTCATCTCACAATAATTTTACTTTTAAATACATTTCCAAAATTTTCATGAAAATAACCATGAATCAGGAGGCTTGCTACTTTAAAGAAAAATCACCACATCATGTGTCGAAAAAAAGGAATAGCATTACCATTTTCCTGTTTTGCTCTGAGTAGACCTTGAGTTTTTAAATTTGAGAAGACAGGACGATGTTCACTTCCTGAGCAACAAGTTCCAGCTGCCCCTCTGTCACTGTGTTGATAGAAATAATACACTTTTATTATCTTATTATCCCACATATACCAGTATTTAAGCAATATTTTTTTATCATAATTGACCGCATTCAAACATGTCCAAAAAACATGTCCAAAACTATCATTAAAACCATCTGCAAAAGTTTGATAAAGATAAAAAGAAACAGGGGGAAAAAAATCCATTATATTTGATCTGGTGATCTTATTTGTGATGCATAATGACCTATGTACAAAACTTGTTCAAACTCTAATTAAGGCATACTTTACGACAGATTTTGCTAAACTGAGAATTCTTTAAAGTTTAACAAAATCTAAATTATAAAAACTGACTGCAGGCCAATCCTGATCGCTCACATATGATTGGCTGAAGCTCTTAATTAAGAAGCCACATAATGAATTTAAAAAGAGTAAAGCAACAAACTCTACAAACCTGTGGGTAAACAAAGCCCCGTCACCACAGGGGGCTGTAGATATATACAAATGAAAACTTATCCCCTCTTTGAACCTCCATTTTCTCTGTCTGCTCTTTTCAATGATGGGTAAATCTTTTGTTCGAAGTAGATAATATAAAAATCTGGAACAGAGATAATATTATATACTTTGAGTGATAAATATTTAACTTCCTCAATACACAAAATTTATTATGAAAGATATGTATAATCTAAGAAGACATCAGTTTACAAACCATAAAATTAGTTTCCCTATAGCCTACTTGAGTTTAAATGAATATCTCTGTCATTATTACCTTTTAAATCCCCTCCTAGCTAAAACTTCAGCATGTGAGTCGTTGAGCACCGTCCCGTCATCTGTTATATGACTTCCTTTCACACATCTGTTACCTGAAATAGTGCAGCTATAGTGTAAGTTAAAGTTTAAAGTGTAAAGTTTCTTGCTCAAGGAGACAATGGCTTGCCCCTGATGGGGTTTTAAACCTATGCAGCCAGCGATCTATAGATTTCAAGTCTGGCACTTTAACCATTTGGCCATGCCATTACCTCTATACTGTTGCCTGATTTACTTCAAAGATTCGTCTTGATATCTCTTAATTTGACAATGGACAGTTCAAAAATGGGAGCTGGACAAGTTCATTTAAGATATTCAGCAGGTTACAAGGGGTGTTCAGGAAATAATGAAAATACCTTATTATCTCCCATATTAACTGTTGTTTTAAGGTTATTTTATAACAATCCCTCAATATACTCTCCTCCTTTCTCTACACAAAGAAGCAGCCTTCTGCGCCATTTTTTTCCCAAATGCTTCTCAGTACTCTTCTTTAGATATACCCCGTAACTATGAATTAATGCTTTTGATAGGTCTTGTTCAAGCATATATTTGTTTCCTGCTTTCCAAGTTCTTTCAGTTTAGAAAATAACCAGAAGTCACATGGTGCTAGATCAGGACTATAGGGGGAATGTTGGAGAGTTACAATCCAATTCTCTTACAGGTACTGAGTTATGGCCCCTGTTTTATGGGCGCTATTTTCATTATATACTCACATCCCTTGTAAGGAATAAATTTAATCAAGGTTATCAAATTCCTAATTGAGGTAAAAACTTTTATAACAAAGAAAATTTAATGCACAACAGGTCATTGTTGATATCATAACATACTAAAGCTGCAAGGATTTTGTATCTGCATGTGCAATGGCAGCATAAACTTTATTGATATAGACTAATACTTCATAACATTTGTCTTCAAAAACAAAATACATTCTAGCAAACCATTTTGAATCGTCAATTACTGTCCTTTTCAAACATACAAGATCATTTCAAAATTTCTTTTTGTTTGTTTATCTAGATTTTAAACAAATTTTAACACATTTTTGGTCATATTTCTGAGGCCAATCCACCTAAGAGGCTTTCCTGGATAACTAACCAGTAATGACAATTTCTCCACAAGTAGCCTACATGATTTCTGGACAGCAGTGTGAGATAGATGACCAATTAATGACCACTAGACTTAATCTTCGAGACCAATTATTGTAATGCAGAAACTTTGCCTCGACTGAGGACGGCAACAGCCACCCCTGGACTACATATTTGTTGCTTTCCCTATTAAGCTAAACAGTCAATAATAAGTTACTCCTGTACAAAAATCATATTGCTTGCTTCAAACATAGGCTACCTGGAAAAAAATTGAAATATATTTACAAGCTTCACAATTACCTGAGCCAACACTGACCACCCTGTACACACCAGTCTCTCTGTCTAACATTACTATGGCAGATGTTACTTTCCTACCAACAAGAGATTCCGGTGTCTGTAGCAATAGTTCATCCACTTTACGTCCTGCAGCCATAGCTACTTTATCGTAATGATTAACAGCCACTGGCATGACACTGTTTGTGGTATTTGACTGAAAACAAAATGTAAAACATAAATCATATATTAAGACATCAAAGGCCCAATAAACCTCAGAAATTCTTCCTTAGAAAAAGCAAACAATGTGTTTAATAAGGATTCTTTCTAGTTTCCCTGAGCTATAGTCTACAAAGGTTGTGCAAGGTTATCTTTCTGTTAGGTTTAAGACACACTTATACTTTTGAGATCATTTGGGAATTCCCAGCTTTACCAGTAGAGGAAGATGTTAGGTGCACCTTTGTACATTAATCTAGGCAAAAAGCAGGCACCCGAGTAGAACAAAAAAAATTCTGAAAACTAGCTGGACAGCTCCTTATATTGAAATATCCAAAGTCTCTAGCAGGATTTGAACCCACAGATGTGAGGGGTCATTGGTTCAAATTCATCAATCTTAGTAACTGGGCCACTGATCCTCATGTCTTCAGGCAGCAGCAAAGTCCCTGTGGAAGATAACTACTATTGTCCACAGTAAATAATTAAAATATTTCATGAATTCTAAACACTACAATTACAGTATGTTACCTGTGTGGTGACAGCTTTTGGCATTAAGTACTGTCCTCTCTCGGCTAGTGCTTTCAGTACGGCCTCGGCAGCTTGTACATTGCCTTCCTTCTTACTGGCTGCACTCATTACAGGGAAAGTCTCCTCCCCAAGTACAGCATATACATTAAATCTGATTGAAATAAAAAAAGTAAGCACTATGATTGCACTATTACTTCATTTGTTTGTTTTTCTATGATTTAAACTGATTTTTTTATTCCGATTTTGCACACGTTTTGGGACATACCTCAGCAATCTAACCACCAAACCAGCTTTTCTTTTTCTTTCCTTATTCAGTTTATTTCACAACTGACTGATTTATTTCCAAGTTATTTCAAAATGTATCTTTTTTCTTTTCTTTTTTTTTGGGGGGAGGGGGGGGTGGGGGTTGTGGGGTGTGTGCATTGTTTTTCTATCACAGTCATTTGGCGACTTTTCAGCTTTACTGTTGGAGGAAGACTTCAGGTGCCCTTCTGAGCATTATTTCAGGTATGAACAACACAAGCATTCCATAAGCTAGCTGGATAGCTTCCTCACATGAAAGAATCCAAAGCCACTATCAGGTTTCGAACCCACAGCGGTGCGGGGCAAGTGGTTTAAAGTCAATAACCTTAACCACTTGGCCACAATCGCCAATCTACATATGAATCTTTAAATAAACAAATGTTAGGTGTGATATATTTGAAGAATATACAGATATACTTACACAGGTTTATGTGGCGGTCCAGTTTGACTGGATTCAAACCTCAATTTAATACTTGATTTCTGGGCATATTCATTCAGAACACTGACAGGGTTTTTTCCTGGAATGCCAAGTGTTGATTTGGTCTTGACTTTACCTACAGGTAGCGCAGATGACTGGAAAATAAATCATACACTGCAACTGAAAACTGAAATAGCTATATCATAACTTATAAAGTTTTTTTGACAGGGTATATAGCTTCAGTATAAACTTTGTAAGCTTATTCATAAGACACAAAACATAAGACTTAATATTGAAATATTGAAATATTGATGAAATAAAATGTGTATTTCCATTTTCTGTATTTTCACTGTAAAAAATCATTTTTCACTGCAGTGAAACATATTTTCTGTATTTTCACTGGTGTCACATCATTATTTACATATCTGATTACATCATTACTTACCCCACCGATTACATCATAACTTACCTTAGTATCTGGGAACAATGCTTGAAGTGCACCTTCCTTCTTTAACTTACTAAGGGCAACACATGCTGCAAGTTTCTTTGATTCCTTGGCACTTCCACCTTTCACACTTGGATACACTTGGCTACCTAGCTTTACTGCCATTGTAAATCTAAAAATACACAACAGAATTCCATTACTAAAGCTTAACCTGCTAGCAGCAACAGATTTTTCACATAAAATAATTCTGTGTGATTGGTAAGGCAGTAAGAGCCAATTGATTTAAACTTTGAGTAAATGACATATACCACTGGCCATGGAGACTGTCATATGTGTTTAAACTTTAGTAAAATGAAGGTATAGTTAAACTGAATAATATATTATGGTACAACCTCTGCATTGCAACACCCTTTGGGAGACAAAGAATATAGTTGTTGCTCAGATGTGTTGTTCTAAGGAAGTTTACATTTTTTGTTAAGTATTCCTTTGGTAAGATTTAAAACTGAGGTTATAGCTCTACAAATGGCCACTTTGCCGAGGTTGAACTGTATTTGATATAAAATAGAACCATTATTGTTCTACAAAGGGCCTCTCTACAGAGGTTGAACTATATTTGCAGTGTATTTGATAAAATACAAAATAGAACCGTTAAAATTGCTCTACAAAGGGCATCTCTATAGAGGTTGAACTGTACTTGACAAAATGCAAAATAGAACCTATCACTTACATGGGCATGTGAGGTGGTCCATCTTGTGAGATAAGATCAAAACTGACTTCATGCTTAGCAAACTGTCCATACTCCATGAGGGCAGAAACGGGATCCTTGTATGGTATGGGGTTGGAGATGACCTCCTCTGAACTTTCTACTGGCGGACTCTCTGCGACCTCGTTACATCCCGATGAACCATCACCCTTTGTTATAGATCAATAATTATGATATCATTAAATAAATTATCTTAACAGCAAGAGGAAATTTTCACATATAAATCTACATTTATGACAGTGAGTGGTGGCGTTCCCAAGTGGTTATCCTGTCAGAAAGTGGTATTTTGACTTCCATACAAAAAACTATATCACTATAATTTTACTAATTGCCAAAACATAAAAGAAGCAGATCACTCAGCTATGTTGTTAATGAGTATCTTGTTGTAAAAACTTTAACAGGACACCAAAAAAAATTAAAAAATTGTGAAATAAAAATAATAATCATTTTAAGGCTTTATGGGCCTTTAAGGGTTAAAAATACAATAGGCAACATACAGATGCATTTTGTACACTGAGTAGCTGAAGAGCTCTTTCAGCCGCTTTTATCCTGGCTTCATGTTTAGAATTTCCCCTTTCATTACATATTTCTGTCTCGCCAAGCCGGGCCACAGCAACAAATCTAAAATAATGGATTACATTTAAACAATATTAGTATAAAATAAGCATGTGACAAATTTTCTTTTATCAAAGAACACTGATAAATATGAAAAGTGGAATAATATATAATAGAATTGAGACCTGTCACCAGCATCAATGATGAATACAAATTAAACAGAAATAATCATGTACAAAGTGTATACATACACAGGTTTATGTGGTGGACCACTCATAGAAACTATATCCACCTTGGGAGGCTGTCGATGCTGTACCCCATACTCCTCAAATGCACTGATTGCATTCTTGTTCAAATTTTTTCTACCAGCCATGTTCATGTCTGTGGAAATATAAAAAGTAAAAAATCAATTTATTGCAGAGACATAGATAACATCTATGTCTCTGCTTATAGCTTGTATGGTAAAATTGCATTATTAAGGGCCAATATGGAGCCAAAATTTGGCCCCGATTCCACTTACCAAAGTTCATATACTTTAAAGCCTCAGGCCAATATTGGCAGACATAAGGCTATTTTTTTCAGTGAGTTGTGTTTTGAGCAAAAGTAACCAGTTTCATATATATCTCTGTATAAATTGTATGTAAAATTGCTCACAGGTGGTATGTATAGCAGTTAACTTTGGTGTCAAAGGATATGTTAATCGGTTGAAGCTTATATTGATACAAAGCTAAGATGACAAAGCTTTTCAATAGTGTAAAAATTTTGAAATTCTGACAATCAATTACAATAAACTGGCAGTTCCTTAAGACTTAGATTTTAATATTTATGTTTGGATATTTTATTTTACCAATCAGTCAGATAGTGTTTACATTTAGATTAACCTCATATGAAATATCTAAATTAATTAATCTAAATCAAGTACTAATAAAAAAATATTTAATTGGTATACTTTTTTTACATGTTTGTTTGTTTGATTGGGTTTTATGTCACATCAACACAGTATAGGTCATTTGGCTACGTTCCAGCTTTACTGGTGGAGGAAGACCTCAGGACCTGGTGCCCTTCGTGCATTATTTCAGTCAAAAACGGGCACCTGAGTAGAACCTAGTGGTGCAACGATATACCGGTATACCGGTATATTGCAATACAGTCTCAGGTCGATACGTACCGCGGTGCAGCTGCCCTGTATTGCGGTTTTTTCTTTAATATTTATGCCGAAATAACATGAATGTAGAAACTTCAATTTTGAATCAGTAAGCAACGATTTACGACATCAAAAACAAAACATCAATGAAACATGAAAAGATTGCCGACACTAGTCGATCCCTGTGATGTATAAAGAAACGCCGCCGCGAACTTTTCCTGACGAAGCTCTTTGATCTTACCGCGCGAGTAGCAGAATCATGTGACGTCATTTTCAGAGTGCGGCTTTGATCACACACAGTTACACAATTTAAGTTAGGACTGATTAAAATTGTTGATTAACTGAAATAAAAAAATGGAAAAAGAAGATTTTGAACTAATTGAAAATGAGAAAGCTAAAAGTAAAATATGGGTGGAATTCAACTTAAAAAAAAGAAAATCTACAGGAAAAATTGAGGACGGCGTAGCCGTTTGTAAAAAATGTAAGATGGATATTCGCTACAGCGGAGGGACCACAAATCTAAATACACATTTGACTCGACACCACAAAATCAATCTGCAACAAGGTGCATGCAAGTCTGGTACTAGTTTGATCGCGGCAATAGTGTCAACCGTAAAGCAGCCGACAATTATGAGTTCTTTTGGGCAGACTATCAAATACAAGCCTACAAGTCAGCGGTATAAGGACATAACGCAAGCCGTCGGAAAATTCATTGTTAATGATCTTCGACCGTTTAGTGTTGTCTCAAATGATGGATTTAAGGATATGATCCGTGTTTTAGACCCTAGATACGACCTACCGTCACGTACGTACTTTTCAGAAGTTGTTGACATGTTGATATTTCTTAAGAAAAACATTTAAAAAGCCTCAAGGACACAGGGTACTTATGCATTCTATAGATACATGTATGTGTTCTAAAAGAATAATAAGAAGAGTTGAAATATAGCTTACGTTTTACTGTTTTCTTTAATTATTTTAGTATCGCAATACAGGCTGTCTATATCGCAATATATCGCAATACGGGTTTGGCTGTATCGTTGCACCCCTAGTAGAACCACCAACATTTCATAAGCTAGCTGGATAGCTTCTTCAGTTGAAAGAATCCAAAGTCACTGTCGGGATTCGAACCCACAGCGGTGAGGGGCAAGTGGTTTGAAGTGTTTTTTTTAAATGTGATATGAACTTCTCAAATAAAAAAGCATACCGTATATTGAAATTATATTTACTTGTTGTTTTTGATTAGTCCAACACTTTTATATTGAAGCATTTATATAAATCTACTTAGCCTTGAGAATTACTCCTCTTACATATTTGAGCTTGTTTGGTCTCTGTGTAGAGAATTGACTAATTAGCAACTGAAATACCCAGGGTGAGAGTCGTTTCATCGAACTGATCTTATATTATAAAACAGGTAGTGGTTTCGGTGAACTTAATTTATATAGTGCAAACTATATCTGTTGTATAATGGGCACGTCAATTATCGTGGTTTATCACACTTTGTCATGCAATTAAAGACAAGATATTGAAAACTTAAACCTATTTTTTATTATTTTCTTTGGTATAATAAAACCTGAAAAAACGAATAATGATTTAAAATGTTTTAACAAAATATTGATGATAAAAAACTTCATATATATGAACCATGTCTACTTTGCCTTTAATTACTATATAACATAAGATAGACGAAACCACTTTCACACCTCTTCATAAATTAAGTTCGCCAAACCACCATAATTCAAATACCCATACATCATACATGTATGTAGATTAAATATAAAAATGATCTAAAATCTTTATCTTTTATCTACCTTGTACGATAGCCTAATATTGTATTGGCTATTAAAATACCGCCGTTATACTTCTTGTCATAACCATCGATTGATCGGGAGAATCATATCAGAGCCATAGTTAATGTATCTATGTCTCTGATCATATCATACACATATCTTTATCCGAAAATTATGGTCGAGTTTTGAAACACTTTAAATTCATGTGGTTTTTAAAATACAGGTAATAAAATCTCCATATTTCAGCAGATGTCCAGGAAAATAATACTTTATAGTCATCACAAAACATATGCGCTAAACAATCGTTAGATGATTCTATAATTTAATATGTAAATGTAATTCATACTTGCGGCTTTCCATTGACTGCAAATGGTGTAAGTCATAAAAGGGACATAATTACTGATTACTCGTAGAAGAATAAAAATGATTCGCTCCGATAATCACTCGCACCACTTGAGTGACAATTTCCGAAGAGCCTCTACTAATAAGATGCTTATAATAATTTGTTTCCCTAAATACGCAGTTTTCGTGTTCAATATTTGACATACATGTCGAGAAGCATTAATAATGTAATACAATTTCAATTCATTTTTAATGAAATATTTAGAAATAAAGTAAATATTTTCATTTCTTTATTTCCTCTGCAAACATTTAATTATTTTCACAGCAATTATGAAACATATATATCGCAATTTCACTTGTGTCTAGCCGGACTATCTTCTTCTTAAATTCAGCCAATACACAAAATTAAAAGGTCACAATCATGTCATAATAAATTATTTTGCGGCCAATATATTCTCTATAGCTTATCAAACATTGTTATAAAATGTAGTTTGTTGGCTTCTTGTGCGCCGTGATGCCCCGATTATTGTGCGCAGTTATAAGCTCATATTTATAAATACAAGAATAAGTAATTTGGCAAAACTGACGTGCCAACTCTTGCTATGTATATCATATTGTTCCTTAGAAACATATATTTATTAAATTCTTTAGAAATGTCAGACACGTGTTTAATAATGTTTTAATAATGGATTGAGAGCATGTAAGACACATAACTGCTGAAAAAAAGTAGCGCTAAATGTGCAATAATGTGTCGTAAAGGTAGCAAAATGTAAACAAAGTAGTTTTTT